TCCTTATGTACTCGAGCAAGCCTTAGCGAAGGAATCTTATTACCTAAGAAGCGCCCGGTCGGTCTTGACGATCGTCTCTCGTCGATCACGATACTATGAGAAATTCAACGAGCTTTTAACTACGGTCACTACTAACGCGTGTTTCAACGAGAAAATTCTCCAGATGACGAGGAAGGGAACGACCGCACAATCGACCGACGAGACGCATCCACGATTCGCTAAAACAAAACTAAATAAAAGTAATTTTTGGCTAAGAGTAACGGTGCTTCGTGGTGAGTGCGGGAATTCTCGAATTTGGTGTGTGTACGTGTGGATATTGTATATGTATATCGAAGGGAAATACTACACACGGGGAGCGATGCGATCTTTGTTTCAAATGACTAACGAGAAAAAATCTCTACGTAAGAACACGGTTGTGGAACGTAGTAAAAAGAAGAAGAAAGAGAATTAGAAATCGAAAAATTCCTTTTTAAACGTATAAAAAAGGAGCAGTTGATGAGAAACAATATTTGCGGACAACGTGTGAATTGATCACGTGTGACAAATCCTTCGTTTCGAAGCAACTTATGGCACTTTGATGACGATTCGTACGTTTTTGAAAATTATTCTCGAACTGCGTCGGGGGATGAGACGAGGATTCGCGTGTGAACGATTCACAATCGCGAATCACTCTGCTCGCTCTCACCATTCGTGTTCCACATACGTGCGAACAATAAAAACGCATGTATATAATAATAACGGAAATATAACGAAGAACGCAACGAAAATAAGTAAAATTAAAAATTCTACGATCTGTTTGTGTGTAAACTGCGCTGTTAGTCGGTTTGGTAATTACCTTCTTTCTCGTGTTTCAATTAGTCCGCTACTTTCCTCGACAAGCATGTATATACGTATATATTAAAGGACAATCCAGGCCACTAATTTCTAATCGATTTTTCGTTACAACGCACAAATCGTGCGACATTCGTGTCGCTCTCTGTTCACTGTTTTTTCTTTTTCTTAAACGCGAGTTTCCGCTGACAAAATGTTTCAGCATTAGAATATGCTTCAAATTAATCACTTTTTTGCTTCGTAACTTTCCAAAGCGCGAAATATGATTGTTGAATTATAAAAATGGAGGAGAGACGACGTGGGATAACGTCGGCTATGTAAAAAAAATTGTAACAAAAAAAAAGATTGCAGGATACGCATAAGATTGAAAGTGACATAACAGCTGAAATTTACTAAAGTGTTATTGCAGTTAATGGATTAAGCTTCGTGTACAAGAAACTTGTTTGGATTTCGCGCTGATAGAAGTGAGAACTCGGTCTTTCACGCAACTGTTATCACAACGAGAAACAATTTGATCGGCTTCCACAGACATATCAAACAATAAAACGACACAGGGTTTCGAAAAGAAAAGAAAAAGAAGCGGTTGAACATCGAGGTTTCATCTTCTTTTTCATTCATCGACACATTTTGTTTCTCATTCGACGCTAATCTTGTACGTAGAATACATTAAACGATTTTTCGAGATGCGCTTCAAACGTGCTTTACCGAAGAGCTTCTTCGTCGTACAATAATCCTACCTTCTTCGTTCATTCCTCATCAATTCTCAGTACAGATTGTTAAAACTCACTCGTTTTCATTGCTGTCAGCGGATCTCGTAAAATCGATCAGACACGCAAGATTAAAATTGTCCATTCCTTTTTGAAAATAAAAATGCGAGTATGCATTGCACGCGCGTTAAACACTGGATACGTGAATGTATGAGACAAAAAAGTCGGTACAACGAGACTTAAAAATTCTTCGGTTACAATCTATTGAACACCGTTCATTTTATTATCGATAGTCATAATCAAACAATCAGTGCATATAAAATATACTAAGTCTACCCAGCGTCAGAAAAGACTCATCTTCTCTAAAAAGTTCCCTATAAAATTTCATCTTGTTTCATCATCATCATCATCATCATCATCATCATTTGTTTTTTTTTCTCTTGTTTCTTTATTTACTCTTTTACGCATCATTTCACGACAAGGTCTCACTTATTTGGCACTAGATTGCGATCATCAGGCGCGCTTTTCATTTTTTCTTTAAAAAAGGGATTATACACACGCGCGAGTGCGCGCCTACGATCGCGGGCTTCGATAACAATTTATTATTATTACCTCTTATTATTCTTTTTTTTTTTTACTTTTTTTTCTCTTCATCGTTATTTATGTCGCTTAAAAAGGCACCAAATCGGGGATTACACCGCTACATATTATTGGATCCCACTGAAGTACGTTAATTCAACGTATAATATATAAAGTTAAAATTCAACCACATATCTCATATGCCTTAATTTCTTCTTATTCTTATTCTTCAGTATTATTTTTTTTTCACTCTCATTTTTTCTGACGCATGATTTCAAAAACTGCAACGACGTTAATAGGTATTATCAACTAGCGCTAAAATATATTCCATATAACTTTTGTTTATATATATAATATATAATAATAATGATAATAATAATCGTAATAATAATATTAATAATAATCGCAATAATAATATTAATAATAATCATCGCAATAATAATATGTATGTATATATATATATATATATATATATATATGTATCATCTTTACGCCATTCGCGTATTTTGCATATGTGTCTCTCTCTGTATACGTGTCTGTGTACATATTCGTGTAATTTATTTGCGATAATAAACTATGATTCTTTTCTTTTTTAATATATATATATATATGTTTATGTATATATATTTATATTTAATATATATATATTAAAATCTATCCAATAGTACAGTCTGCTTTTTAAGCCTCGTAATTTATCTCTCTCTCTCTCTCTCTCTCTCTCTCTCGCTCGCTCTTTCTCTCTTTCTCCCTCTCTTTCTCTCTGGTTCCTCTTTCACAGTGGTCTCTTGCAAGAGCGGCTGTTGCCAATAATAACACGTGAAAAGAAATCTTAGAATAATCGATATTGACTGGTTGATTCCTCCGCGACGAAGCGAAGGCACGAATTAAAAAGAAACGAGAATCGATGGCGCATGACGTCGCTGTTGCAAGAGGCACATGATAAATATAATATAATAATCTATAAGTAAAATTTTTCTTGCTTTCCATATTCTTTCCCCGATAACCCACCCGCAATACGTCCGTAGACTTATAAATTAATTAAAATATATGTGTAACACGAACTCATTAACGAGACCTTTGCGATCCTAACCGCGATTAGCGTGAGAAATTCGCCTGTGCTTGGAGTATAGAGAATTCACCTAAAAATAGGGGCAAGACAGTTGCAGATTTTACGGTGAAAATTTTAACTCGACTAATTGTTTTCCTTCCAATAACGATATCAGTCGAAACAAGTTTTGTTTCTAACGTGGCTCAGAACACGCAACGCGTAATGCAAGTACGAGACATCTCGTTACGTACGATTCCTCGTGTAACACTTCAACGTGTCTTCATCTTTCTTTTTTATCTTTCTCGCTATGAACACTTTTTACAATAATTTGAACACTAATTTTGTACGAACATAAGGATCATTACATCCTTAATCTTTAAGAAACGCCTCTTACTCCGCGAACCTCTACTAACTTTTACTGATTGGCAACATGAATTTCCATATTTTTACAACCTTAACTCTAAAAGTTTAACAACGATTTAGAAGGCAACGAACGTGATAGTACGATAAAAATTTCGTAGCAATCTCCAAGATGGGTTACTAAATTTCAACAAGTTTTACGTTAGGTATCAGTTTACCCTGATCACGAGCCTTAAGATACCATAAAAGGAATTCGATGTAAGCAGAGATGTCGGCTCGGCTCGTATACGTGTCCATCGCAATTGATTCAAAGTTTTTATTTCCCTTCATTTTTCGCAGCTGCCAAATTTGCTCTGCAACTGTCTTTCTTAAACTTTAACGATGTATAAAAACATTTACGTATCTTTGCTTGTACGACGACGACAACGACGACGACGACAAATAAGATATTTAACAGAAAAATATATTATGCGAGAAATAAAATTTAAAGAAAAAACAAACGCGTATTAGTCAACAAGGATCGACTTACCAACAGTTTTACATCTTCCGAGAGCGATTTCTCACGTAAAAGTCGACTAGGGTAAACTAACACTTCTTTTCTTACGGACGAATAAAACTGGATTTATCAAACGAGCTACTACGAAAAGCCTCCGATTAAGAAAGAAAAGAAATCATTTCTGACTATTATCGTCTTGGCCTAACATCTGACGACAACCGAAAAATATGTGAAATAGATTGGTCATCAATTTAACACCCTATTAATTCGACAGACTCATCCATTAAAATTTGGCAATTGATTTCGTCTTAGGCGATCCGAGAGCTACGTTCTGCGTACTTTCCACTTTCATATCGACACCGCTTTGTTACGTATCCAAAAAATCTTCCTTTTTGCCTGCCATCTAAAATTGAGTTAGTCTTAGCCTCTCAGTGATTATCAAATGTGAGTGTATTTTTAATTATTATTCTGTTTCCTCTTTACTTTAAAACGATATATAAGCTGTTTAGCCGCTGCCTCTTTGCACTTATTTTTTTTTAATATATATATTTATACGTATCAACTATATCAGTTTACACCCTCCGCTTCCAATATTTTTTCTTTTTTTTTTATTTCTGGACGGGCTTCGAATTAACCCATCGCGAACACAATGATTTCTCCAAGACCGGCCAGCTGCCGCTTCTCTTGCTTAGAATTTGTCCTTCGAGTTAAAAGAAGAAAATAAAAGAAAGAAGACACCTTTTTCCCGCCGAAAATTATCCACCGTAACGAAACGGTGGATACTCTTTGGTCCATGAGAGTTTCAAAATTTTGACGATAATTGACCTGAGAGCGTATCAATTTGCGAGTCAGCGGCACGGTCCATCACGATCAAAAATACTAACTAAAGCTTCCTTTAATTTCTCTCTTTCTCTCCTCGCCCCTCTCTCTTTTCCTATCGCTTTCTTATTACTTTGTTTCTCTTCATCTACTCCTATAAACATTGCTGCCTGCCTAACTAATATTGTATCCCTCTATCGTCCTAAAAGTACGCGTAATCGTGTCCGGAGACGACCGATCGCGTCTTTCGGTTTCTGTCTCCGTAATTCTTATGACTAAAACTTTTATTTTTTATCTTTGCAACACGCTAGATATCTCTTGAAATAACGAACGAACAACACTGGTCAATCGTGGGCGATCGAACACGAGATCGCGTAATAAACAAATCACGCTTCGTGCCTTCTCTTTGTTTCCCTGCCCCATCTCCTCCCTATCTTTTCTCTCTTCGTCTCGAAATCCCATTTAATTAAAATAACAACGAAGGTCTCCGTTATGTTTACAATTAATTAATAGTAGCAGTGATAATATTTATAATTATTATTATATAGCCTCTAGTCGTCTAATGTCTATGCCCAACTAGTGAAAAAATTTGTATATAAATCGTTTTCGCGTCCTCTCCGATTCACACGTGCTCGTTCATATAATCCTAAACAATCGATCTATGAACGAAAGTCCGACTAGAGAGGATTCGACAAAGTGTAAAGTGCAAAATATAGTAAGCTACGATCATATTTTTAGTGCTGTCTTTCGCGACTAAGCCTATATACCATCACTGTAGCCGTATCCCTTTTGAACAGCAATCGAACCGCTCGAGTACATTATTAATTATGTTTTACGTACGTGCAGACTATAATCTTGTAGACTGAAAGAGAAATTTTTCAAAGAACTTTGAATAAAATACATAAAAAGAATATGTATATCATAGGTTCTATAAAACTCGTAACAAGCAAGACAAGGATATATTTTTAACAACGATAAAATTTCTATGACCCTGGACACGCACATCCTTGTCTCACGTTATTTAGAATTTAACATTTACAAATAAGGGAATCTATGATTTAACGATCAGCTTTAGTCGCGATCACGAATTTACGAATAACAGATTCGAAAATCGTTAATATATAATTATATAATCTTATTAGTCCCACGATTCCTCTTCAAGTCGAACAGGAAATAAATGAACGGATATTTACTATTTGCGTGGGTAACGATTAAAATTCTTTTTCCGTTCTAAAAAATAATATATATTATATAGTATACTGATTATATAGAATATATAGCAGTAAAACTGTCACCAGTTGTACTGGGCTCTCTAAGCACAAATGCTTTTTCTTTTTCTTTCTTGTTCAATCGAGTACGGTACAGTACGATATGGCGTTAAGTTACTACTAAAGTGCCTTCAGTCTATCCAATGTCAGTACTATCTTGTATTTGGTGTCGTTAAAACCGTCCCTCTGCAGTCTTTCAAGAATTGCATGCCCCGTTCCGTTAATATCCCCATTTAACTATCTTCCGTTCTTCCCTCTTGCCCTAACCGTGGACTCCTTTTCTCTCCACCTTGGCTCCCTATTACGCTACTATATAACTCCGAATCAGGCTCGGCAGCTTGACAACAGCTTCAACGGCTCAACAACATGGCGAACGGTCATCGTACATATATATTGCATTTACTCAGTCTACTGTGGTTCCCTTATTTATATCGTGTGTGCATGTATCCGACGTTTAAACTTCGATAAACGTACTTATTTATGTATATTTTCGATGCTACATGCGACACCGTTTGATTCTCTCCGTAATATAACAGTCACATAATAGTAAATATACTCTTTGTTGATTTGGACTCACGTTTCTTTTGCAATTATTACTTTGCTTTCTTGTTTCATTTTTATTATTTTTGTTCATTTTAACTGATCCCCGTCGTCGTAGAACTACGTTGAGACGACTAAACGAGTAACACCGGTTCAAACGTATATGTATAAACTCTTTGTATGCGCGTATCTTTCTCTTACGTTCGCTTTCTTTTTTCTTCTTCCGTTTGTTTAATATTCACGACTTCCCTTGAAGAGAAAGGACGCGGTAAAGCTCGTTTTGTTTTGTAACTTAATGCCCATTACGCGTTTCACGCGTATAAATTCAAATAATTTTCTTTTTGTCGAGAAAGGAAACTTTCGGTTTGCGAAACGGTCGGGGATGTACATGTACACACCACCTCCATTTCGTTCGAAAGTTCACACTTTCGAACGAAACAAGAGAAAACTAGTAGCTATCCGATATAATAATTACGAGTTAATTGATTCAATTTTAAAAGAAATTCATAGCTCGAATGATCAGAGGTACTGTGTTCTATTTGTATTTGATTTTACTAGCTGCTACGATTATTATCATACGTATATTAAAATTTCCGTTTTTTCTTGTTACTGTTGAATGTTGATCCATGAAAACGGGGAAATCTATTTGAGCTGCAGCAAACGCATGGTCCGCCATTGAATTTTCCCCGCGTCCATGAAAATATCTTTAGATTCAGCTTCTCGTTAATCGTCTGTTGTTTATTAAATTGTAAAAAGATTTCGCCTAACAACTACCTACGGTATCAAGGATGATAAAGTATTTAAAACTTGTACATTTGATTGACTACGTCCGTAATGGTCCTTTCTTAATTCGTTTCCGCTAGCTTAAATTATAACTTTATCGTCAGTGTGACAATCTATTTACTACTTGTTCTCTCTTTGTTCGTTCGAAACATTATTTCCTTTTTACAGCCGCACAGATTTATTCGGAAAGCCACTGTGACGCATATGCTCGCATCTCTTCTGAGCTTCTCACACAATATTTTTATTTTTTCTGTGTCGTTATCCCTTTCTTGTGCAACGTTCCCCGACTCTTACCTGCGACGACAACAGTCAATCAAGTATTTTTGTCGACTACTTAGTAATCGATGACTGCACGACGATGGTAACAGCGATTCGTAATTTCATCGTCAACAGAGCTGTTAATTCATGAGATACTTGTATCAATGAGATAATTGAGGATCTCAATTCAAGAATTGATTCTCTTTTTTATCACTTTTGTCGAACGTGACTGCCGAAAACAATGCTATCGTAATCGAGGTTCTCGACCGCCCCATTTATTCGTGTATCTTCTTATAACTGATTGGAATTATTAGTTTCAATTCTCAATAGACAGAACGAAGGGAAAGGGCCAGGGAGCGTAGCCTGAAAAAAGATGATACACCGGCAGCGGTCTACCGCTGCTGGCCCATGCTACTGCTGCCACTGCTGCTAAGGCTCATATGCGGCTTAAGGCTATGTATGATCTTAACGTGGGCAACCATATTATCTTTCCGCGTGAACTCCTTGAAACAAACCGGGCAAGCATAGTACTTGACATTAGGCTTGTGTGAGGTGACGTAGTGCCGGCAGAAATTGCTGATGTGTGTGTAGGTACGATGGCACACGGTGCATCGGTACACGTCGCCCTCTTTCACGCAGAAGTCCCGTACCGAACCCTCCGTTCTTTCATTCTCGACTTTAAACGATCCCTCGAAGTCGCTCTGACTGATCTCCGACTCACCGACCGCGACCAGATTGAATATGGCACTGCTCAAATTGTCTTTCGACACTTTCTGCTCCGATTCGGAATCGGAGTATTGCTGCGAGTCCTCCATTGACCCGGTTGTACCCGCCGTTGACGTTTTCCCCTGTAGAGACGACGCGCTGTATTCTTTGCGAAAGCATCGCTCGAAGTTGATGCGAATGTGAGTCGGTGACTGCGAGCCACCGCCACTCGACGTCTCCTCCAAGTCTGAAACGAAGAAAGCTCACTCCTTTAAACAATTCTCGACTGTCTACCATCGTTTTATCGTATATGTCTATATTGCAAGAATATACAGCGAGAATTAGAAATAAGTGTACAGCCTTCAAGCACGAAATTTAGTAAGCATAAATCATTTGACTTTACGAATTTCGTTTTCGTAAGATGTATACTTATTTTTCGCTCTTACTGTACAAGGTATGATTGAAAAGCTCGCAGTTCTTATCTACCTTATCTAGTCTTCAAACGGATTCACGCAACAATTTCTTTCATGAAAGTCAATAGTTACTAAAGTAACTAGTCGAAAAGTAATTAGTCAAGTAACTAATCAAGCCGAAACAACTTTTCAATCTACCTTCGTGTCGTAATTCAAACTTAGGTAGATCATTGAGTATGCAAATAATCATAATAGTATTTAATTGTGTATAATAATGTACTGATAAATATAACGTATTTCTACTATTTGTGGGGGGAAGCAAGAGGAAGGGTAGAGCCAGCAAAAAAGAGTCACCGTATATTCGAACCGGCTGTCCGTCAACTCTGTCCCGTGTTAAGTGTGTTTTATGCCGCACCCGCTTTTCCGTGTCCCCACCCCCTGCCCGTTCCTGTTTCATCGTCATTCCCTCTTCAGATTCTTTCGCTCTCACGCACGCTTTCGCCACTGTTCGCTCGCCGTTGATCGCGGCTTTGCCCCGATCCCGTACGGCTGCCAAGAGGACCGTTACGGTCCTGTTTGCCATACCACGAAGTGCATCTCAGCGACTCAACGAACCCGTCTCTTTCTTTCCTCCTTTCTTCCCAATAGATATATGCAACATACATACTCATACATCCGTCCTTGCACGCGCACTTATGCGCTCATTCCCTCTTCAGCCGTTCTTCTCAAATGCAACCCTTCTACTACGCGTTTCTTATGCACATTCACCCCTCGCGGTCGCCGATCTTACACCATTTAACATTCTCTTTTTTCATACCCCCCGGTTCATTTAGACTCCCTCTCGTATCCATCGCTACCATTGAAGGTATACAAATACACATTCACGCACAGATTTAATGCAACAGACTGAATCGTACGCGCGCATGTACTTCCGATTAGAAGCTTGGAGCATTCGTTACGTCGTCTTTATGAAAACGTCTTTAAGTAATCGTCTTTATGTAATTTTACAAGTTATTAAAAAGAAGATAACATGCTCCAAACTATCACGGCGCACCCGCACACGTACGAACATTGGTAATTATCATGACATACGCATACTCGAGACAAGGACCCACCCATATACATATTTTCGACAAATCCGTCCGTACGTCCCGTCAGTCAGAACCGTACAATATTACAACACATATATCCATACTGAACGGGAAGACGATCCATCGAGATCGAGGACGCTCGAGAAGAAGCAACGTTCTTTCTTCTTCGATGCAATTATACTTTATTTATATTTATTTAATCCGTTTTCGGCTTCGCTGTACATCAGATTCTTTTATTCAATTTTCTCTTATTTAGATTATTCTGGCATTTCGGAACGGTTTTCATATACATTATGTATATGTAGATATATACATATATATATTTTTTTATTTTGGTTTTTGAGCGGCTGGCCTCCCCTAGTTCCCTCGCTTCCCCCGCGCAAAGGTAATCTCTCAGAGATCGAATGGTGACTCAGATAATCTCAACTCACCTGCGCAAAGAGAACAAAGCGTAACACGTTTCACGGTCACTAACGAACGATCATCATGTTCGACATCTTCGAAGCACTCTCTGTCACGCGCGTGCGTGTGTGTGCGTGCGTGCGTACGTCAAGTAAATGCAATTTCTCTTTATTTCTTTTCTCTTTTCTCTCTTTCTCTTTCTTTATTTTTCTCTACTATTTTATCTATCTCTCTCACTCTCTCTCTCTTCCTCGAATATCACATAGGAAAGAACGTACGTCACATCCTTCTCGATATTACTTTTTCTTCTCCTTTTACTGATCTCTCTCATCGTCAATCTTACTGTCCGTCTCTCTGTCTGTCTTGCTCTATTTTCTTTCCGTCATTCGGGTTTGTTTCTCGTCCATTTCTTTCTGTCCTGTCGCTTATTCGTTCGCCTATTCTTCCCTTTTCATTTTTCTCTTCTGGTTTTCGAATACTTATCTCTCTCTGCGTGTGCTTCAACTCCGGATTCATTTCCCTTTGTTTCATGGAAATTTGGGCAACGAGAAGAATGCAAGAGAAGGCGGAAGCGATTAACCTGCCGACGTTCGTTGTCCGCTTTAAAAAAAGAGCTACGCACACCTTTTTTCTTTATTTCGTAAATGAAGGTTCTATCCATTTCACCGCAGTCTGTCACTCGACGTAACATCACATAAATTGCGTTCGACTTCCTTACAACGAACGAACAAATGAAAAAAGTAAACCAGCGTTTTAAATAAAAATCAGAAAAAAAAGTAAGCACCGCTAAAAGCTGGCTCCACCCCCTTCCTTTACCAAGTGGCCAATGGCAGCGAAGCGTTTCTCATTCGTGCGTGGATTCTATATTTTAATAAAAAGATACACATGTCGTGTATACGTATATGTATATATACAAACAGGTGTATATACATATAAATTCACGTATGCATTATGCAAAATGGGATTAAAAGGATTAAAGTGAAAGTGATAAGTAGAGAGAAATGTACATAATGTATTATCTAGACGAGTGTGAAGAAGGAGCATAAAAAGAAGAAGGAACGTGGCGCTGCACATTGGCCGAGAGCGTATAAGTTACATGGGTATGTATATTTTATATGCATATGTAAATACATATGTCCCTTAACGAGAATCGGTGGGTGGTAGGTTAGAATTTTTGGAGGCTACAGCATTCAAAAGGGAGTATTATCTTGTGTATTTGTTGACACGATTTTTGTAATTTTTTTTTTTTAATTCCGCTCGAACGTCTCGTCGTTTCAAAGAAGCATACAACACGAACGCCTGTATAGGCTCAACGAGACGACGGCTTCCTTTCTCTCTCGTACACTTTGTTTCTTTCGTATACATACATATATGGTACACGTGGGCATGTATGGTACGCATATGTATACATGTTTTATTCTGGCATTTTTTTTCTATTTTATTTTCTATTCTCGAGTTGTCACAGGTCAACACGCGTGACTCAAGTAGAGGTCTCGTTTCCTAAAAGCCCGTAAAACACGGTGCGCATCTCGTGTTTCAATATTACTTTGCCTACGCCTACGGCTTAACTGTGCCGAACGATTCGGTTCAGGTTCGAAAAAAGGAAACCATTCTTATCGTTATACGTATTGTTTGTTTTTATTTTTACTTCGGTTTTTTGTACTTCTAGCAGGCCGACTTTAAAAACCTATGACACGCATAAACTCCTGGAAGCCTATTCACCTGCTCCAGACGCAAATCGCACATACTGTTTTTTTTTTTGTTTTAATACTCTGCAAGATTTGTTGATATTAATTTCCCGTAAGAATGCTAACCCAGGCGGTGTCGACGAATTAACGTCTTAACGAATTGCACTCGTGAACAAATTCATCGACCCGAGTCGCAATGATCTTTTTTCCTATTCAGTGTACGTGAATTTACGATAAAAAAAATAACCTTCCCGGAAGCACTGCTGCGACACTGCGTTCGCGATTTAATTCGCAGTCGCGCAACCACGAGCAAGGTCAAAAATTAACGGGACGAAAATTCTGAAAAATTAAATTCATTAGCACATCGTAAAGCAGTTTTAATTATTCTTTCCTCTTTCCTTTTTTACTTCTTCCGTTTAAATCCGTCAAGACGAGTGCCTTGATGAAACCAAATAGACAAATAAATGATAGCATTTGTTAAGGATTAGAATAAAATATTGCTTAGGAAAGCACGCAAACGGAATGTTTTTTGTGTAGCTACCGTCGATCGACCTCGACGAATCGTATGTAAAAAAATTGGAATTCACTCTTTTACGCACTTCAAGAGTAAAAAGTAAATGAATTATTGAAACACTCGACAAGTTTATGTTAACTAAAAGAAGAACAACATGATAATGTCCTCTTCTACATACATGAAAAGTTTAAAAGTATTAAATACTGCTATCAGTTTTCTCTCTCAGCATATATAAATTCAATTTCATTAAAATGTACCAATTAATATGCATTATTAAAAACGGTCATAAATAGTTTAAGAATACAGTATCAATATACGAAAATCGTTATGAAATTATCTTCAAGTATTAACTAGCACATTTTTAATTCTATCAGAAGTTTGTAAATGTCTAACGACTTATTATTCACTTTAGCATAATTAGTGTATATAACAGTTCGCAAGTCTCAATTCAGGACTTGTAAATAAAACTAGATCACGACTTGTACCGGTATCATCAATTAATAACATGTTAAATTTGCTTTAAGCTAATATATACTCGTATCAAAGAATATTAATTTGCATTGCGTTGATGTTATTTCGATTATTCGCATTACGTATGGTGAATAAAAGATGATGCAATATTGTTAATCGTGTAAGCTGACAATGGTATTTCTTACCTTGTTTGAAACCCTCGCTCCCTTGTCTACTGTGTGGTCGTGCGAACGTCTCGTCAGAGGCTAGCGAACAAATAGAATTTGATTAGTTTATCAATAATCAATGTTTGCAATAAAAATGAAACTCTAAATGCTCCCTTAATACTTTAGTTATTTCGTAAAAAAGTTTGCGTCACAGTGAAATATAATGTAGACGGTACGTTTATTTCTTTGCTAAAGTTATGATCAGCTTTAATAGCCGTGAATATTTTATGAGCTCTTTCAGGAGGTGCCAAATAAGAAAAACTAAGATTGCAGATTTATAGTGTCATAACATCCTGTATAAAGTTCATTTGTAAGCATGTATAATCTACAATGTCCCGGAACGAACTACTTTTAAATTTTCAGTGTGCATCATACTTGGAAGTTTATTAAAATTGATTTGGTAGTTCTGGAGTTAACGAGAGAGAAAGAGGGAGAGTGTTGTGTGTGAGAGACGGAACAAAAAATAAAAGTAGTTTACCTTGGGCAGAGGTACTAGGCGTCGGTTCGGGTTCCCGTTTGACGCGAGGTGTCAGCGACTCAGGCGTGTCAGTACCATTCTCCGTTGGTTCGTCCTTTCTCGACGACGACAGGGCGGTCCCCGTCGATGCCGAGTTCCCGACGTTATTGCTGCTCACGTTGTTACTATTCGCGTTACCGGTGCTCCCGCTTCTACCGGAGTTACCGGTATTACTCTCACTTTGAAAGTCGATACTCATCTTCATTTCCATCATCTCGGGCGAGCCCTGGACAAGATCCGCCCCGGAACAGGACTGAAGTTCCTGGCCGGAGATCTCGCCGATCGGCGTGTCGGACGAGCCGCTCAGTTTCCTAGGTCTGCCTCTTTTCCTCTTTGGCGCGGATAATGCCGAACCAAGTAGAGGATGGCTCGACATATGGTGCATCCTCTTCTGCGAAACGTGATGGTGAGGCCCGATTTGGTTTATTCTATGCAGGTTCGGCGGCGGTGGAGGTACTGTGTTTTGATTGCCAAGCAACGAAGAGGTAATACTAGGCAAGTCGCACTTGTCCTCGTTTACCTCGGTCAGGCCCTTTATCCTGAGGGATTCAGCGACTCTCAGGAAGGCAGTTAGTCTGTCCTGATCGACGCTGACCTCCCCGCGGTACATGAAGTCCAAAAGACTGCGCATGTCCACGTAGGGGACATCCTTGAGAATGACTATTGGGTGCCTGTCGGGGTGCCCGACGAAAAGGGCCTGCAAAAACAAACAGCGAATAACATCCAGTGATCGGTGCAGATCCGACGAAAGGGTCGAAATAAGAGAACGTTATGAATTATTAATACGCTTTGCGAATCAAGTTAACAATTACGAATTAATGACGATGTCATAAAGAACGCGATTCGTATTAGTCTTCGAAAAGTGTGTGTATTTTCGGCAGATTCTCCGGATTACATTCAACGATGCATCGTTCTTTCAGATTAGCACAAGAGTTTAACTTACCTGAAAGTAGGGGCTACACGCCGACAGCACCATCTTATGTGCCCTGAGTAGCTGACCCTCGACGGCCAGCGTAACGTCGACAAACGACTCGTCATGGAGTAGTTGGTCGAAAACGGAGAGTAGATTACTTTGATGATTATTCCAGCGCAGACAAAATCTCTGCGATGCCATCGCTTCACTTCTCAGATCCGCCAAGTTACCGTTAATGTCCGCTAACATCAGATCTAGTGTTGATCTTTTTATTGGTATTGCTGCTGCCGCCTCGTCGTCGTTTCTTCTCGCTTTCCTCGACGAAGCCGCTTGCTCTTGTTCGTACTCCTGCTCGTACTCGTGCTCGCGTTCGTGCTCTCTTCTTCATCGGCCACAGTTTATCATGTCCTTCCTTCTCGTGATCTGCAAACAAACATAAACATTACTTATTATTATTAAATTGCTCCCTTTTTTTTATTCAACTGCTTTCTGTCTGTGGCTAATTAACAATTGTTGCTCTCAATTATGGAACGTTAAATAGAGCTACGTAACACGTGTTTGCTCCCTTGCAAACGGAACCGAAGCTTAACGTTCAAAATACAGCTCAATTACTTGCACGAGATCCGAACTCGTTTCCGTTTCTACATAAATGATTCATGTCAACATGAATCACTAATCCTTTCTCGTGATCAACGCGTGCGGAAACGCCAGACGATAGCGGCGTGGCGCGACTCTGGAGAATTCCTGCATATGGAAAATTTCTTGAAGATTATAGGCATAGTCCTGGGCGCGAGTAGTCTTCTAAGCAATCGGCGATATATACATATACAATGTATGTGTGTATGATAACGCCTGCATGCATAATCGGCCATATAAGTTCGCGAGACGATACGCGCGAGGTATGAACGTGGGTGTACGACCCTGGAGGACGTAGGTTGGGCGAATAGGCGACTCGCTCGGTTCATGCCTTTTATGTAATTCTCTCCTCACCCCTTCACCAATCCAATCACGGTCACGTACGCAACGTTTGTTTCGCTAAGATCCTGAAGATGTGGCAGAAACGCGACCTTTCCTCGATCGGAAAAGGCCAGCGAAATTATGCGTCATCACAAAAAAGTATAGGCATGAATACATAATCTAAAAAACCATCAGTCATTTTTTGACTATGTTTCGTTTCATGAAATCCAGAAGTTGCATCAAATTAGAATGAATACAGAACAAATAATTTAAAGAGATGAACGATCTACTAGAGACGAGTATGTATTTTACAATTGGCAAAAAACTTACACTAACTTTTGAAGAATTTATAAATCAGAAAATAAAAAAGACAACTATCAAATGTTATGTTGATCGCGGAAATATAGTTGGGTTTACAAAGACATAGAAGGATCCATTTTCTCAACTTTTTCAACAAGCTTTTTCCAAATGGGTGTGCGAATGAAAGAAGCAAAAGGAAAAGAGAGAGAGGATCCCTCCACCTCCTCAATTCTCGTGCAGAAGAGGTCGACGGGTCGGCCGAGAGAATCAATAGTATTTTCTACGCATTCGGATCGATACCAAGTTCCGTTGCTTTCGCGCGCAAATCTCCATATACATGTACGTGTGTATACGTACAGAAGTGACGCCGCAAATGTGCAAGTACACATTCGACGCTTGTCGCGAACGGCAAGTATCGTTGTGGGTGCATATTCGATATAAATGCAGGATAGCTGTTCACGACCTTGCACGACCTTGTTAATACCTTGAGTGAATGGTTTTCACGGTGAATGGCACGTCACCATGGTGTGCGGTAAATGGTGGTAGCGTTACATTAAACGATCGCGATCGTTAAACGATTTCTGAAACGTCTCGTCGCGCCTTACTTCGCGACTTCTTCCTCCTTTCGACATCGCGCCACTTCGAATTCCTGATAAATAGATTACGTAACAAAATCAAACTCTCTCAGTTGCTTTATTAAATTGGTCGCGCAAAAGTGAGAAAAAAACAGGATATTGATGATATATTATTATTAGCTAGTGCTCTTTTTTTTTCCTTCCTGAACCTGTCGCGTTAGAAGAACGCGAAGAGAGTAATGTGTCGTATTCACGTAATCGGCAACGATTACGGTACGTATACGAGAAAAAATTCCAGGAGATAAATCAATAAGAACATGCTAATCGTTGTACACCTTCATTATGAAACAAAACCTGATTCTCCATTATAGTTACAATCCCATTCTAATCATTTTATGGCAGAGTTTGCTCGGACAGACTCGGAGTTCATTTAAAAGATCCAATGAAGTACTCATTTATTATGTGTTTATTCTGTCGGCATTATCTAACACGATTACGTCAGAAAATTGTTGAATCAGCTGAAATACGCGCGCTCTTTCTCGACCGGTGTTGTTACTACCTGTTTTAGCGACGGTTAAAAAATATTTTCCACCGAACGGAAACAGATACTTATCTACATAATATTAAGAAAACGCGTATTCGATGAACTGTGTACTAGAGTTGATCGAAGTAGGAAACAAGCCTACGAAGAAATATTGCAAATGAAGAAGACGTGCCAATGTACACAATTGCGTTCCTCGAAAGGTGCACATATAAACGGGATCGGATCGTCTCTCTCTTTAGTTACATATTTGTTTAGTCGCGTGGAGGCACGCAGGACCGTAGTTCGACCAGTTTTCAAGACGAACACGAAAAAAAAACTGACGCTACCACTTAAAATAAAATAAAATGTAAAAAACGAAATATAAAAATGGTCTCTGGATTGGCAGTCGCCAAACGTCATCGACGCCTTTCGAATACTATTCAGGTTATCAACAACGGCCGCGTGACGAACGGGCTTGTCTATATCCAAGTATTAGCTGGTGATGAAATGAACACTCCCGGCCATATAATTAAGCCGATAATTACTTCCTATGGTCCTAATATCATTCTTCTTATTATCGTATATCGTGACGCTCTAAACGAGTGTGTGTTCAGAGACCAGCCGGTAATGCCGATTAACGACGGTTTCGCTCTAATAACGGGAAATCGAGAAATTCGTTAAATAGAAGGCACGAGAGCGAATCATGGGGGTATTCAGCAGCCGTACACAATTCGTTCGATCACGCGTGTGGCCGTACACTACGTCAACGATAAAACCCGATTAAACGATATTTAGATCGAATCGAGTTACATGAAGAGAGAGAGAGAGAACGAAAGAGAGAGCCAGCGTAGTGTACACAACGTGTTCTATTCCTTGAATGTAGGTGCGCCTCCAACGACGTTGAAACATTTTCATTTGATAGATAACGACGTTACGAACGAACACAGGATTACGAATCGACGAAATATTGCACAACAAACGGAGCAGAGAAGAGAGCTGATCGTCTCGGTTATACGAGGCCGCTCCCAACCAACTTAAGTACGAAGTTCGTCCCGTTATATTCCCTTAACCATCCACGGTCACCACCATTACACCCATCGGCATCGTCACCACTGTGAGTTCTGCTCTGGCCGCCGACATCATCATCGTCGCAACCGACCCCATTGTTCCTAGGTTACACGTCTCTACGTACATACATACATACATATATTCATCGTATCTACGAGGCGACTCTGGTGCACACAAAAACGCAGCGTGCGCTATCTCGCAGCTACGAGAGTTGCATGCGTATTTACGCATACATTTACCAACGGCACCTCGTATGCAGCGAGTGCGTCTCCCGACGTAGCTGACCCCGAAAACAATGAGGTTTTCACGGTGAATAAAGAAATATACATCCGAGAAATCTCCCTGATTCCGCCAATTCCGTTAGTAGAAACGAGCAGAGTATCGAGATAGTCGGTTGAAAACTTCCAACTCGTTACAGACTTGGTCGAGCTTTAAGTTTTAACGAATCGAAGACAAGCCAAGTGTAACTCTGTAGAGGCAGAATCGGAGATAAAGATTAGTTTGCGATGCCCCTCGACACGCGTGCTCGCCGATGCAATTCGTGTTCTAACATGAATGAAATGTGGGTCATCATCGTCGATGATATCGAGCATGATTCGTTGGTCGAAAAGTTGCGCGCGCGTTTACAAGCACGCAGACTGGCGCACTATTTCGATGGCTAGCAGCGGCCCTAATCGAATCTACGCGCACGCACACTAATGCAAGAACGCCTGTTGCTTACGCACGTGCGTGCGTGTAATGGCGTGTCCGTGCATGCGTCACGCACACGGAGCCGTGCTACATTCTCGCTCGTGACGCGCACACGTCCTTAAAGCAACGGATATTTGTATGCGTTCGTACATGAGAGTACGCGACTCGCTCCTCTCATGGCCACGCATTGCGTAATCAGCACCAGCGGTAAAGTCACGCCGAGGTACAAAACGAACGACAAAGCGCGGCAAATACCGCTGCGTTTCGAGAGCCTGAAATCCTCGCTCGTCCTCCCTGTCCCTCTTTCTACGTTTCTCGCGAACCCTCTCTCTCTTTTTCTTTGCAACCGTCTCTCTTTCTCTTTTTGTTTCTCCGCTGTGTACCCTCCCCGTGTTGGCTGGCTTAAGCCTCCTACCTTTTACTGTTTCGACGCTTCCGCGTGTAGAGGATACAAGCATGGGTATAGTCGGTGGAAGTAATATAGCGAGGTCATAAACTAATCTCTCAAATGGTAAAACCAAAGTGCACCACAATAACATTGCACAATTCTTGCTTTCTTTGGTTCTCATGTTTATCCTCTACGTATAAAATCTGAATTCTTGTATCTGACGTTTACATTCATATTTTTATACACCGTTTAAATAAATCGTGAAGAAATTTTCTTTTTGGGCTGGATTAAATGGAATATATATGTTTAAAAATTGATACGACACGTTTATCCGCTTGTATTTTGAGTCACTTTGTCGCCCTGTTGATTTTATAACCACGCTATATAATTTCCAGCAATCGTGTGCGCAGTGCATGCACGTCTTCGCCGGAGGTGGTGGCTCATTCTTTATCTTCCTCTCTCTCTCGCTATTAGATACACTCCGAGATCCATTAATAGTGTTTAAAGACGCCAGTTTTTATCCTAGGATTATTCTTACCGCGGTCAACCGGGAGATACGTATCGATAGGGAAACATTCCGCTGAATCATCGCTCAAGGATGTACGTGTCAGTCGACAAAATCGTTTCTGCAGGAATTCTGCGGACCGTCACGCCGTGCGACCGCCGTCACGCCGTTGGATAGATATTTTTCCGTTTTTCTCGGTCGGGCGCGAAATCGACTTCAACGCCGATAATGAGAGGACACCACCTAGTAACCGATTTCTCAAAGACCGTCCTCGGCGATTTCGACATATAACCAAGTTTCCACGTGCGGGACGTGATCTTACATGGTCGGGATTTTTTCGTTTGTGCGTACGATCAAGGAACTACTGAGAAACGGAGTAGAAAGGAAACCAGGGAGGAGGGAGAGAGGAAAAAGGGA